CATCCCAGGACAAGGTAGTGGTTCTATTATTACTGAAGCGCAGCAGCATCCCAGGACAAGTTAGTGGTATCTATTAGTTACTGAAGGCAGCAGCATCCAGGACAAGTTAGTGGTATCTATTAGTTACTGAAGCGCAGCAGCATCCCAGGACAAGTTAGTGGTATCTATTAGTTACTGAAGCGCAGCAGCATCCCAGGAAAAGTTAGTGGTATCTATTAGTTACTGAAGCGCAGCAGCATCCCAGGAAAAGTTAGTGGTATCTATTAGTTACTGAAGCGCAGCAGCATCCCAGGAAAAGTTAGTGGTATCTATTAGTTACTGAAGCGCAGCAGCATCCCAGGACAAGTTAGTGGTATCTATTAGTTACTGAAACGCAGCAGCATCCCAGGAAAAGTTAGTAGTGGGATCCTTAGCAAACTGGGAGATCTCAAACCCTGAGGGGGGGGGGGGGCTGGTCTTAAATGGGATCCACAAAATTTAGGGATTTGGTCTAAAATGGGATCCACAATGACTGATTGTCAACTGGAGACTTCCCTGTATTCAGCGTGGCTATCCATAGTTTTGATGGTATGCATCATACTTGTATGGTTTAATACAAAGTATATGTATTTATTAAGATAATTTCGGTCTACTTTTAATATGCCATGACCAAAATGGCGGGTCTAAAATGGGGTCTACCAGACAACATTTTGGTCTAAGATGGGGTATACATTTTTGGTCTAAAATGGGCTCCAGGTTTTGCAGTGTGGGCTACACACCTATACCATATCAGCAGCGAAGTACACCCCACCCCCCACCCCCGATCTCAAAATGGAACATTATCACACTCTGTGGTGGGCACTATTACCCGATATGAAACATGACATTGATACATTTGCTGGAAACAAGCGAACAATGATTTCCTTTCATTTCACTTTATTCCAATATTGTGACCTGTTTAGCAACCGACTCCTCTAATTAAAAGTTATGAAAATGCAAGTTTATCTTGACAAAAAAATTGCCATTCTGACACCAGAGTGTCCCAATGAATTCCATAGCAGAGTAACATATACTAATTACTAATTTCAAGTACTGGTAGAGTTGTGTAGCCATTGTCAACGTGTCTCTCCATGCCTGGATAACTAAAGGAGCAATCGTCACTAAAATCCGATTATTGAATTTTACCTGAATTGAGTGACACATACAAAACAAGATTTGTGCTTTAGACATACATTCACAAAAATGTCACATTTAAAGCTGCCATTTTTCAAAGCTATAGAATCTAGCAACAAAGTGAATTAAATGCATGGGAGCGTAAAATGTCAAAGTATATTACGTGCAGATCGGCAGAAACGAGTCCATGGCATATTTTCGGTGTTATTTACCTGCTTTACTTTCTATGTCAGTAGCTACTATGAGTTTACAATTATTTCTCAGTACTTATTCACAGTCTAATGTTAGTTAGTTTGTTTGTTATTACTTACTGTCAATAATGCTATAACGATTCCCAATAAACTGCCCCACAATACGTCCGTTGGATGATGATAATAATCTGATATCCGAGTCAACGAGCAGAGTAAACCCAACATTAATGAAGTAAACTGTAGCGTTGGTTTCACAAGTTTTGGTAAATTCCATACAAACCTCACCTCAAG